ACAYGGTCCGTCGGATAACATAATATATTTTCGTCGACTCCTCAACACCGATGCAGCTGGTCTGCTACAAAAACCTCTCAGCAAACCTTTCTAGAATTTCCCGATGTATTCGACCGCTGAAGCATGGTGAAGTAGCGGTGGCGGCGCGGTGTTTCTCTGACATCTGAGACCCACACCGCCGATGATATTGTGAAATACGATGAAAAAAAAATACTATACACTAATGCCTATAAAGACGATCCGTATAATGTATTATTATTATATATTCCAACAGTCACATTCCAACGACGCATTACGACCACCTGCTCCGTATCCAAACCACATATCTTCCCACACGTCTCAATGAACATCAGAATGCACCCTGCGGCTCACACACATGACGTCCCATTACAATATAATAGGTATGTCTATCGTCCCCGCCTCACCGTACAAACACCAGCTGGCGACGAAGTTTTTTTTTGTGGGTCGAAGATTTATTATACGTTTTATTTACCATTTTATGTAGGTATATTTTTTTTTCTCGTTTCGTCTTAGTCTCAAGACATTTTTATATACCTAATGCATTATGTGAAGATTAACGACAGCAGCTGCAGTTAAAGAATGCACACTACAGCGTTTATAACAAATACCAGCTGTAGGTGTTGTTTGGGCACAAAACGATGTCTTCCCCTGAGAGTTGGTAAATAGTGATTGCGTACACACATTCCAGAACACATTCCTCAGACAACAAAAATAAATGTGCTTGGATACATTATATTTWAAAAAAAATAACATGTTTTTGTACACAGGTATAGAAACATATTATATTTTTACTTTTACGAGTATATAACACACTYGAGTTAATCTGCAGGATTAGAGGATGAGAACAATCTGAAATAATCACGCGATGAACGGCCTTATTGATTTCACGTATGATATATTGGTGTATAATATATTTTTATGTTATAGCACTTATACCACATTAATTACTTACCGTGTACATATTTCAACAATATTTTAACATTTATATAGTTATTCAAATTGTTGATAAATTTACTTGTATWGGGTATAGAAACGTACCATAAATAATAATAGGCCGTAAGCCCGGTGATCTAACACTTTGTTGCGATAACAACGACGAAAACCCGAACAAAAATCTATCGAAAAAAAGCCGRTAAATGCCCAAAAAATTACCGAATTGAATATGTAAAYATAATAAATTATTRTTTGTAGATGATGGTATTGAACTAAATATGATTAATATGATTAACTTTATCACWATTAAAAACTGAATTACATAATTTAAATAGAATATTGATCAAACTATCTGACCAATTTTCATGAAAATTTCAGATTTTTCTTAAATATATTAGGAAAGTTTGAATCACATACATATATGTATAATATATACCAGAGCTATAGTTAATACATGGAATATTAACTGACTGACACTAAAACTGAGAAACACCCAATATAATGCCGTGTTTTAMATCAATTATTCATTTTTCCACATGCAAAGTCAGGTTATGCCGAAATTATAAGCTTAATAGCTCTTGTAATAAACTATATCTATTTGATATTTTTGTTTATATTTTTACCGACGAACACGTATATTCACGTAATATTATTATAATATAGTGTAGTGGGGGCAGAGTCCTGAACGGTGCAAGCCTGTGATGTTGCTAAATATATATGAAACTTTTGGTGGGGACTACCACCACCACCGCTGCTGATGAGGGGGCCTATAAAATGACTCACSRAGGGTCTCTCGCTATCATTGTGCGATCCGTGTACTTACCTACTGCTTCTYCCAGTTCACTACCCACCTTGTACTTTTCTCTTGTTCAATCGACATCAAATTTATATTTTCTTTGCCTTCTCGATTGTCCTGCATTTTGAAAAACGCAACGGCATGATGAAAACGATATTAGTAGCGACGATTTGCGCTATGTTTATTACTTTGAGTGGAGCAGACATTAAACGTGCTAGTCTAGATATTCCAGCACGTAAGTATCTACTTGCATGAATATTTTAATTTAATTAATACCTAGTTGAATTGAATTTCATAAATTATTCAGCTTATTAATTTTTTTAATTTTATGAAAAAGATTTTTTTAAATATTTTTAAATATTTTTCTGTACCTATTTCAAAAGAATTTAATATTAATTTAAATACTACTTTTCATTCATTATTTTTGTTATATTATTTTTAATTGTTAGTCCAATTAATAAAACAACTGTGATCATTGCAATATAATATAATAATATATTGCCTCAATGTCCAACGTTATTTCGTCGATCATTTAAAAAACGGTGCTTTTCCATCAAARGAAATTGATGTGTTCACTTAATTTAAACTAATTTTAGCATATTTTATATCTCAGTATACTAAATTTTTAATTAGTTGTATGACAACATTTTTTTCACAAGAAATTTATAAAATATCTACCAAAATTATTATGTTTAATTATCTATCTCTAATACATAATATTAGCTATATTAAAATAGTTCTCTCATTTCGTATTTTGGTAAAATAATTATAAAAAATTAAAAGTAAGATTTTAATGATTTAAATTAATGAAGGAATACTAGGTATATAGATTGATAGTTTTCACCAGTTTCATTGTTTTTCCTTTCACCACCAACACAATATAAACACCATACCTATATTAATAAGTAATTTAATCGATGTACTGTTTGTTACAGTTAAACCATTTTTAGGCCTAGATGTCAAAGACGTGTGTACTAGTTCGTTTATTGGAGGGTTGAATTATTCAGTGAGTGCTGCGGGCTTGGATTCGCCACAAATTGGTGGTTGCGCCAATATCGAATATAAAAGAGTTCRTGACAACGTGAAAAAGTCATTTAATTTGTGGCTTAACCATTTACAGCATAACAAGCCTCAATGTGGCCAAGAAGGTACATGTAACAACTTTTTATTTTAAAATAAAACAGGATTCTATGTCCCTTCTATATCAGCTATTCCATTTTATTAACAATATATATATATATATACCTACTTATTGTACCATATGTAGCGGATGCATATTAAATACATTGTTAACGACCTATTTAATGTGGAATCCATATTGTCCAAACAGGCCTATTTAGCCAAATAYTTAATGTTTTCCATTGAATATAGTAGGTAACTAGGTAGGTGTATTAAAATTGAATTCCAGTATGTTACATCCGACATTTACTATAACGATTGACGGAGCCACTTTTTATTACTATCTTAATTATCATAAAAAATAATAATAATTWAAATTTAAAAGAAAAAGAAGATGAAAAATGAACGGTAAAAAAAATGTATTTATTTAATTAGGTATATTAATTTTAGTTAAATACTGAAATAATATTTATTAAATTTTAAAATAATTACCATAAATAAAATTTAAAAATATACAATATACATCCTTACGAGTATATATTTTTTAGGAATCTTGTTCTTAAATAATTTTGYTATACATAACATCAGAAAGCATTAAAATATCTGCTATAAATAAGCACATCAATATTTATGCCTATTTCAGATGCTYCATTTGAAAACTTTACACTAGATTAATTCTACTAAACCTTACTCCCTACRCTACAACATTTTAGTATTRCACTGTTTAAATTTATTTTGAATCTAAATTTTAGATRATAAACTATCTGATGAGTATACAATAAATTATAATATACCTATAAATATGATTTTAAAATATCTTACAATACCATATTTACCAAGCTTGTAAATTGTTGTTTTGTCACCATGGACGACTATTCAGGTATGGAACACATCATTTTTTCCTGTATGGGAATGCCCTTGTCATCACAAGAAATCAATAAATATGGAAGTCAGTTTATACGTCTATACGGCCGAGTTCCCAACAAGAAGGGTGCAGAAAGTCTCAGATGTGGCGTAAGTATATTAAGACTGCTATTATATTATAATTGACAATTCGGGTATTTAAAAACATATTTGAATTCGTTATTTAATTAACTTAATACCAATCATCCCCTTTTTCAATTCTATATAATCAATTCAAATATGTTTTCTGATTTCTAACTACATAAATTTAAAGTTGTTAGTAACCCGCAGGGACAGGTAAATATAGGGATCTTATATCATATATTTAAATAACCAGAAYTCAATTTAAATTTTATTGCATACTAAATACTTACAAAGTAGGTAAATTAAGTTTTTCAATATTAAACAACTGCATCGAAGCCATAGATTTTCGAAATACGAAAGGTGTTGATGTAATTAGTTTTAATATAATATCTAAATTTCTACTGAAAACTATTACTCTTGCATGATGCAACCTAGATACGTTATATAGATTTTAATAGTAGGTATAATTATTACAGTTTTCTGACCTAACCGGAAAGTAACCTTCTGATATAACTCTTATTTTAAACAGTGTATTATTTCATCAAAATTTATTGAAAATTGAATATTTTAATAAATTCTTTACATACTTATCATAAGTATGTAAATAAAGTAACTTATGGCTATGGGTATATTTTTTTCTTATTATAACATAATTTAATTAATCACAAATATTAACAATTTATATTTTTTCATTTATATTTGAATTTTATGATAGTATATATAAGGTATTAATTATATGTGTATTTAAAATGTATGAACGACTATGTATGTATTGATTAATTGTTTTCTGTTTCTCTATTTCTCGTATGCTGAAGTTGTTCGAGAAAGAGCTAGGTGACAACAAAGTGCTCCGTTTGGCGGTTAGCGGTGATCATTTGTGCAACGGTTTGTCAGACTTTTTCTCTGACATATTTCCGAGAGTCACCAAAGGGTCCAAATTGCTGGAATTGACAATAGACCCGGAATACCAATTAAGATTCAAGCGGTCAACAACAGATCCAGCTCCCTCTATTAAAAACCATAACTGGTTCTATATGTGGATGTTGGGTTGATTGGTTTTAGGTATTTACATTCACCACTACATATTCATTTACTGATATTTTTTTTTTAAATTTTTTTTCTTTTGTAAATGGAGTATTTTTCTCCGTAAATAATTAAATAAATAAATAATTTTTACAATAAACATTTTCTAGAAATAAACCAATTGTGTATTCTATTTGTATAGTAGTTGCCAGTACGCAGTAGATAACCTAATAAAATTGTTTTATTTTCTATAAATTAAGTGTATCACGTAGGTACAATGTACATGGATACGTATTTTTATTATTATTATGATTATCATTYTAAAATAAAATACCTACTTTAAGTAGGTACTTATACTAAGTAGGCTACTTATTTAACATTATGCATAACTTATGGAGGGATATATATGCCAGWATTTGTTATTTAAAGTTATATAGTCATAAAATAAGTGCGAGATTAAATAAAATGAAACTTATAGAAGTCACATTAAATTGATCGAATAAAAATATGAAATAAAAATACCTACTTTAATATGAAGTTTTTTATAAAATTAACACAAAGAGAAAATGCTATTTTGTTCTGTGAAAAAATCATATTTATA